CATATAACCTCTGCGCATCAGACCTAGTGAATGAAAGTCATAAGTGCTTCTTTTTTTGTACATGAAGCTATATGGCAGAAACACACTGGCCCTCCCTAATAAGCCGTTTGTATTACTGAATCTGGAAAACGTTAGCTTTTAAATAAAACTACTAAATAATTTCAAGAGAGAATTGAAGTATGTGATCTTTCTCAGACTAAATATAGACAATAATTATAGTCACCGTACAGGTTATGTATTATTGTATGGGGTGCGGTACCAGTGCCAGCATTTGACAGTGTATACAGTTCACTACAAAGGTTGAAACATTAATGTCACTACCACTTTCTTGAAGAAGAACAGAGGCTGACATAAAAAAAAAAAAACCTAACTATAATTGCAGTGCATAATAAATATGCTTAATTTTCCTCAGAACAATCTCATAGGCACTTTTCATGTGTCGGCTAAAACAGATATTTAAGCCTTGCTTGTTTTCCTAGCAATATTTTACTTACTCTATTCCTTGAGCTTGTTGTTTTATTAATGGCTGGCTAATTACTTTTGCCATTATTGGTTATGTCAATTTTAAAAGATCTTTTGTTAAACACTACATTACTTTTTATAACAACAAATTCTTCAGCTAGATTCTATTAAACATCTCACCAGGGAGCTAATACAAATGATCTTTTTCAAGTGAATAATCTTTTATTATTCAGGTTGTTGTGTTTTTTTCATTGATATTGCTGGGTCTCTCCTTAGAAATTAAAAAAAAGGATCATGCTTTTCCACGGAATACTAACAATACAGGTAATGGATCTGACTCTGAAATCAATTTCTATGAGTTGCAATTTCCAGGTCAACATTTGCATGCTAAAGGAGAGAGGACCTTTCATCAAACATCTAAGGAAATACCAAAGAAATTGAAAGTACTCCTGTGCACTTTGTCTAGAAATCATGGCCGTTATCACATCTCAGATAAAAGATTTGCAAAGCCACCCACCCAATAATATTATAGGACCAAACTAGACATTTACTTACTGCAGGATGTGTACAGCTGCAACATTTAGACAAACAGATTTTTTATTGCTGCCAATGGGAAATTTTTATCCATGTATTCTATCCATGTACAGAGTGTATGTGTCCAACTTATTCTAGAGAGGAAAGAAATAAGTCTCCCTTTTCTCATGCATGACACTCTGAGTAAAAACTGCCTCTAAAGTACTGCCATTACTGCCTCTAACGATGTAATTTATTAAAGCTAAAACAAAAAATACTGCTTCAAGGTATGTGCCGAGGAAATGTCTAGTATGACCCTAACTCTCTAGTAGAACCTGTGCAATCATGCTGGGCTGGTTCCAAGTGAATGGTTCACTAAACGTCCCCGATCCTTGAAATGTTTGGATTAAACTTGGGGTGAGGGGAGAGGAATGGAAGACAGTTAAAGTTTTTCTAGGCACATAGGAGACTGGATGAGTCACTAACAAATATGTTGAGCTTTTTTTGAAATAGTAAGTGCAATTACTCTGGGGACAACAGTAAGTGGGAGAGGAACATTTTAGTTTTCCCTTTCTACCTGCACTCTCCATATCCACCACTCCTACATCACAACTAGCAAGAGAAAGAAATATCCAAAAAAGACTGGCATCAGTTGGATCTTTTCCCCTATTAGTAAGTAAAAAATAAAGGGTAAAAGCCTTTTTATAAAGCCTCAGGTAACCAATAGTCCTGTCGCTATGAATGGTAAAATTCCTGCTCTTTACCTGCCTACTGTTTCATCTCCTGCTAGAGTAAGAGATACTTTCAATGTCCATATAAAAAGGATTCTGGTTTGAATATTATTTGTGGCTTTTGCATAGCCCCTTGAACTATGGCTAGTACTGTGTGCTTCAGCTCTAGTGAAACAAAATGGGCACTTATGAAGGGATCAAGAGTTCACATAGGATTAGAAGGTGCAGTCACAAAAGACGTATCAGATTATGGGGAAGGGTACCAGATATTCTGGTCATTCTTCATCAAAATTCATTTAAACATGAAGGAACAATTAAATATCTTATTGCTCTATTAAAGTCTCCATCTTGCAAAGCCTTTCTCATCAATCTTTACATATTTTTTTTACAAATTGAGAAAAGAGAGAAGAGAAAGAGAGTATGAGCAAAATCTAATACAGCTGGTTATTTTTCTACTTTTCCTTTCTTTTTCATGCCCACAAGCATCACACATTGATGCAACAGATGCTGCTCATATAAAATATGTCAATACACAGCCTTTTTTCCCCAGTGAAACCATTCTGTAATCATTAATTTTAATGTATTACAAAGCACAGGGGATACATATATGAAATACCTCTTCGGATGCTTCTTCTTAGTTTGTTGCAAAGCTCAATACGTGGGTTCTCTGAGTTCTCCTCTGAAAAGCCAGAAGTTTGTTCTGGAGAGGAAGGACCTTTGCTAAGATCCAGTGGTACTTTAGACAGTGTTGGTGGAGGTGATGTGGCAGGACTATATGTTGAGGTAGGACTGCTAGCAAGAGAGGAAGTAGATAGATCTAAAGCCCCTATTCTTGAATTTATTGGAGAACTTAATGACAGTTTTCTGGTTCTGACAGGTGAAGAAGTCCTAGAAAGTGAAAGAGGTGGAGGAGAAGAGAATTTACGGCAGAGAAGTGGTGATTTTGCATCAGACATGTGTTCTCTGTTGTTTTGATTCGTTGCAAAAAATAATTCCAAAGACCTATGAAAGAAACAAAAATTCAGCTGTAATTTTGACCAGTGCATGTAAGAGATAACTATAAAGAGCTAGACATAAGAAAATACAGTTTTCAGAGCCTTTAGCCTTTAGGGTGGTGAATTCAATTTCCCTAGAAGTCTCCTGGGAGAACAGCCAACCTGTGTAGTCTTGAGCAAGTTATACAGTGCCAGAGCACCCCCAGAAAAAGGCAATAGTAAACCACTACTGATTACTTAATATCTAGAAAAATTCAAGAAGGCTTGCTATAAGTTGGTATCAACCCGGCAGCGTACAATTATTATTCAACTGAGTAGATATTGGGAAATGATAATTGCAAGCTCTAAAACATAACATATGTCATTCTCAACATTATTGGGGATGTAATTGCTACTCTACTTTGCATGACAGAAACCTAGCCAGATGTTTCGACCAAAACCACAAATTTTCTATTAAGAAATTGCATCGGATCAGTTGTCTGAGAGGGTGGGATGAGGTTCACTTTATATGCCCACTTCTCCTTCCATGTACCTAGTCCAAGATACTTGTTGTAAGGATATACACCTCCTATAGGTGTACGTGACATAAATCATACTGTATTGTTGTACCACCAAGCCATCTTCTTCAGATGGCAAAAATAGTCTTGGGTGTGTTATTGAGAACCGTCAGGTTAATAATCCTTAGAGAACTTCACTTTTAATATTGAGGCTCACATATTAATGACCACCGTAACTGTGAGTCTGTCTGAATGTATACTTTGTCTCATATGTTTTTTACCAAGCAAGATGGTATTGGTCCACTTTCAAATTTTTGTGATGGATAGGTCATTAATTAAGGGTGGATTTACAATTAATCTCTAACTTCTGTGGGGATGGTAGGCAAGTTCAGATCATATGTCCATTCAAGCATAACATTCAGAATGATTTCCAGATGGACTTGGGTTTGTGAGTGACTTACTGAACTTATGAACTTATTTGAATAGAGAGAGGCTGGATACAGTTAGTACACTGTTAACTGCCTGGAAGCATACCTTCTCCCTCTGAAGACAGTCTAGAAACATTAATTTTAAAGAACAAAGCAGAGAAACTGCTCACTGGGGCTGACCGTACATTTCAAATATATCAATACAATGCTGTATCTACCACATTGGTTATCAGTCAGTCTCTGAGTCTGATTTTAAGGGTTGATGTTGACTGTTAATGTACCATATAGTTTAGGATCAGTCTAGCTGGAGGAATACCTTTTACTTTATGTTCCTTCCCAAATGTTCTTCTGATAGGCATATAATCTTCAATTTGTTGCTTTTGTTATTTCTGCTGCCAGCTTTTAAATGTCTTCAGGCTAAATCCAATTGCTAATGCCAACTAAAGTAGATCCACTGAATAATAGGTCTTGTTAAATTAACAGTTATATAAGTCCTATCAATTCAATGGGTTTGTTCCAATTGGCATTAACCATTAGATAAAATGTTGTCACTGAAATTGGATGTACTATTATTTTACTGATTATTTGCGGTTTATGCTTACAAACCTCTCAAAAGCCATTTCCTAGTTAAGTGGAAAATACACTTAAAAAAAACAAATAAGTGTCAAATTCAAGTGCAACCTTTATATGAGATACCACTAACATGCTGCAATTCTGCTTTCTGTAGTTGCATTTGTATTGTTAATGTTGCACTTTAGTGAAATTCACCAGGCCATATTTTATTGACATATTTAGAGAAACCATTAAGACGTTTTTGATCCCCTGAGTCTTTGTACTCTGCTACTTAGGCATTCTATTGTACTGCTTTTTACATTCAATGGCCAGAATATTATTGCTGATTCCTGCTCTTGTAAAGGAAACCACATAAGCCTTGATGGCAAATTGCCACTCATTAACAGCATGCTGATTGCATTCCTATGCATGTGGGCACGGGACCAAAAATGCAACCAGCACCTTGTTAATGAGCAAAGATTTGCTGCCAAGATTTACACTGTTTTCCTTTATACTACTGTGCAACAGGACTCTGGCCAAGGGTTTATGTTGTTTTTTGCTGTTACCTTGAGGTTTATGTTTTATACTATTTTCTTGGGTGTTGCTTTTGTTTACTGTCTTTTAATATTTTTTTACCTTTTAAAGTTTTGTATAGTTTTTTATTATAGCTTTAAATATGTCTTTTACTTTTGTAAGCTGCCTTGGGTCCTTTTTTAAAGAGAAAGGCAGGGTAAAAAACGTTATATAAATAAATAATTTTGCACTCTGCACTGAAGATAAAAACAGAGCAGATAAACAGATAAAATTGTTTCCCAATGCCATTTCCTTGTTAAGCATTATGAAACTAAATTAATAGCAAAAGTCAAAAGGAACTCACCTAACAGGTATTGAGGTGAAAGGTCGTTTGTATATATCTGATAGTTTCTCCAGTACAACTGTAGCAGTAGTGAATATGCGATAAGTATGTAGGAAAGTATTGAGAAAATCAATACTGAGAAATCGCAAGTCCGTTAATCTCTCCAAAAGGCGTTCTACACTTGCATAACGAATCTGGGGCACTTTGCAGGAATTTAATGTTTTGCTGAAGCAGATGTCAGAGTCATCTTTGTGAAGACGAGCATCGGATCTACATAATAGTTTAAAATCATTATTAAACATTAGTTTAAAAGCCAGAATCACCTCTTTAAAATTAAAAAATTATTTTAAAATGCAACCTCAACAATCCTCATAGGCAACTAAAACATAAAGTTTGGGGAGTTAATTTTAAAAACTAATTAAATAATGATACTTACATTTTGTAATCCCTCAAAAATTGCTAGTCTGTTACCATTGCAATTAACAAAAAACTGTTAAGTTACTGATTTCTCACAAATAACTAAAATAGTTGCATTACATTACTTTTTAAAATTTGACTGTTACAAGCCACTCGCCTGAAGTACAAAACAAACACGCTGCATGTCCCCTTCATTTCCATTGTGTGAACAAAAGGCTGGACTAGAAAAGCCAGTACAGCTGTTCCTAGAGTCCAATGTGCTTCTACAGCAGGCAGTGTATCTCCCAACAGTTCCCAAACCCTCAGAGACTCTGTATTCAGAAACAGTGCATACTCCTTCCATGTTGTTTCTGGAAGCAAAACCAGTATTCAAACCAGTATGTAAAACTTGGGGGTGGAGTGGGGAAACAGACAATGCCAACACAGAGCTAGTATTACATTTTCCTCTGTGAAACACAGGCTGTTCAATCAAATGAAATTGCAAGATTTCATTTTATAATTTAGTTCTTTATCAGAATAAAACTGCAAGATTTCTACATCTACATTATGCCTACATGAGAAGACAATCAGACTCACTTGATCATATGTGGCACAGTAACTTTGGAGTTTTCTTCAAATACGATGGTCATTAAACCATTGCACCTTATGTTGTCAACACACTGCAACAAGTTAATTAAAAAAGAACATTACAGTTCCAGCAATCAAGTTTAGTCTAGGTACAGTTTCATCGCAGAAAAAAAGAGAAAAAAATGGAAAATACTAGAAACTGAACTGCAGGGCTGATTCAGTAATCACTGTTTACAGAATCAAGTCACTAAGACCACACAATTTATTGTAATGTTCCTAGGTGTATTTTAAGTACCTCATGAACATTTGACCATCTCATCATAGTGTAGTGTATTCTGTATGCAAAAACTGTTTCAAATACATATTATATTCAGGTATAGAAAAGCAATTAATGTAGTCTTTTACATTAAGCATTTAAGGTAGTCCTCTTCCCCCATAAATAGTAGACAATTTTAAAAACAAATGCATTTGTTTGCTAGGATGCCGACATCAATATAGGCACACAGGATGCGCAAGCAAATCCCAGAACCGATTTACTCCTACAGGGCTTGCTGATGCCTGCCTGTACATTGGTTTTGGGGAACTCTTATAATTTTACCCTCCTACTATCATTAAACACTAATAGAAATGTTGGACAGCTGCAGGAAAGGAGAGATGGAACCATCATTTTAATCTTTACCCCATGCCCTCAACATGGTCTCACTCCAGGGTCAAGGATCCCATCAAGAAAGGATTATACAAATGGCATCCTTGTTTACTCTAACCCCTTGGGTTTCTCTCTCTGCACAAAGTGGGGAGGAGGAGGGCATTTAAAAGGTCCCATCAGGGTCAACACAGGCAACTGCATTAGACTGAGTTGGCCCTTCCAACTTCCTTTTTTGTTTTGTTGCTGAAAGGAGTATTGAGCAGCTGCAAAGCAAAGAAGCCATCTCTTTAAGCTCTGCTTCTCTGACAGAGGCACAGATGGTATTACATTGATGTCTTATTGGCTACAGCAACATGCTGTTCTTCTATGCAACATCAGTACTGCCACTGCTTGCTCTATCCTATTTCCTGAAGGAGAGCCATATGTATGGTGGGGCACACAGACCACTTTGCCTGTGGTTATTCCAAACCCACAGCTGGTCCAGCAATCCAGTAAAAATACACTACAATCATTAAAGTAAAAACAAGCTCAGGAAGGGTAGCCAATTTACAACGTAACTAGTGTGAAGCACAGATTGAGAGGTTCTAAGGCAGTCACTCTTTCTCTGGGTCAATCCAGAATGGTAACACCTAATCAGAAGCAAAGCTCATTTAAGAAGTAAAACGTCAATAGTTTAAACTAGCACCAGAGTCTCTCAGCTCCATGTGTTGCAAATTAGCTTTCATTAGAAGGTAAACACCAGTTTCCTTTGCAACTCTGATTGTTTAGTCATGACACTTTGATGTAAATCCAGGCTTGGAAGCAAAACATTATAACAGCATTTCCCTTAATGTGCTATTCAAGCCTCAATCCTATGTATCAGCCTCAAATTTCCACTCTCCATAACTTGCAGGGCTAATTTTCAGAAAGGGGCAGTCTGGTGTTCCAGAGAGAGGTGTTACTGAACAAATCACATTATAAGCTAGACATGAGGTCCAGGAACCTAATAAGTGGAAGGGAACATAATAAGATTAAAACTGAATCCATTACTCTTATAGTTACAGGGCTACGCCCCACTAGTTCCCTCTATTATTTTACATGATGTAATAATTTAATATCTGCAGCATTTGATGACAACCAGCAGTGTCTCTTATTTTTTCCCAATTAAAAACTGGAGTAAAGGCATTTGACTGAAGACAGTCAGTGAAATTCTCCACTACAATTAAACAAACTCATTGAGCATTAAATAAAGAAAGGTTAGTTACCTGACTAATGTCGCTTGTCCATGCTGCTTTTTCCTGCCGTGAAGGGGCTAACAAGACAACTGTAAAAGGAGGTGCATCTGCTGGCTCCACCACAATCTTGAAGTCAAGGTGTCCAAAAACTTGTCCAGAACCTTTTGCTTCACAGTTGGAAAGGATGGGTGGGAGTGGGAAAATTAATCAGAATCTGAGCCATAATCCACAAAAAATTGTACAAAACCAAAAGGCTGCTATTTGGAAGCATGCATAGAGTCTTCCCTAGGCCAATGGCATCTAAAACCTTTTAATCATCCTTATTCTCCTTGATAACAAAAGCAGCTATTGTCTCCCAATAGAGAGCTGAATGGCAAAATATATCTCATAAAAGTTACATTTTTAGAGTACAGTTTCAAGAATCCTCTAGCCAGCATGGAAAGCAATGCTGACTGGGATATTTTGAAAACCTTAGTCCAGAAATAACTTTCCCATCACTGTATTTTGCCTATTATGGCAATGTAACCATTTCCTTTCAAATGCTAGCAAATGTGGGCACTAAACAGCATGGTCAGGAACATTAGGGCAAGAAGAGCAGGGCTGGTTGACGAACTGATTACAGTACTTATTTACATAGCTGAATTAATGAACTATTAAGACATATACAGTTAAGCATTGCCCAAACATTTGGTCCACGGGTCTAATCCAGTCCACAGAGATTCCCTATCAGACCACATGGTCTGTTGGGCAACCACTGCCTCAACCCCTTGTCTTTCTTTCCTGATAGAACAGAGGTGGGACAAAATGCAGTCCTGGAGCAATATGTGGCTCCCAAGGATGTTTTTATATCTCCCCCTTGCCTCATATTGCTCTTGCCTTCTCCAGCAAAAGAAGGTACACTGCAGTTCCTGAAAGCCTTAAGAAGTGGCACTAATTAATAAATCACAATCTCCCCTGTACCCTTTATCACCTCAAAACACCCAAGTGGACTGATAGCAATTTCCAATTTGGACCTTTGGAGGGGGTATGTTGTTTTTTAGCGGTCAGCGTAGCCCCCAAACAGTCTTGGGGACAGAAAACTGACTCCCAGACCCACCAAAGGTGGTCATACAGGGGAAAGTGGGAGGGACGTTGACAGTTCCTAAACTGCACTCTCAGGTGCTTGCTCACTTTCTTTCCCTCATCCTCCACTTCTCACAATCCAGGGAACAGAGAAGAGCAAATCTGGGTCCCCTGCTGAAACGCGGGGGGGGGGGGGGGGAAGG